TAAATGTTACATATGGTTTCAGACGTTTGTCTCACCTCAGAAGCTCGCTGGAGATCACTCGTGAAAGCCTTGTCGAAGGAAACAGATTTGAGCGCCTCCGCAGTCACTGCAGCTTGCGCAAGACCAGTGGCATTGAGCTGTGTATCCAGTTGACCCTGGATGATTCTGTTGCGATTTGAGTCCGTCTCTCCGTGTCTCACGACAAACACCCGAGCAAGGATGGTCATGGAGCTACTGAAGAACCGAGGACTTAGGCTATCATTAAGTCCGGTCACTCTGATTCAATGCTGATTAGTTGACTACCTTTGTACAACGAAGGCAAAAGTGCACTAGACGTCATTTATTTAGTCCATAAACCTCCACAGCTCGCCCCAAAACCAGTTATCCATTCCATGCCAAGATGTTTAGACTCCTGCGAGGAGGTGTATCTGCAGGTAATGTATCCATCAAGTATACCCAAGGAAAATGAGTTCATCATAGCAGTGCCCTGATTTCGTCGACCACATTCCTGATTCTATCGTCAGGGAATGCTGGGAGAGCTGACATTACTGTTTGCAATTCCGCAGATTGGGTAGGGTCTAACGAAATGCCGCGTGTATTCCCAGCATAGATCTAGATTGATGAGTAAACAGTCTTGGTACGGAATGGAAGGACGCTTACCACGTTCCCCAATGCAACCAGGGTGCGATAGGTAACCTCTGCATCATCTGTATTTGAACGTAGCAACTAGGGATTGCTTAGTTGATGGTCAAGAACATGCTTCTGATGAGTACCTGAAGGGCTAATCCAGTATGTTGGTTCACCACATCTCTAGCGACGGATGTTGTCAAGTAGGCACAAGAGAAACTGTTTCGACATTTAGTCATTTTTCCTAATATGGTCAAGTGAAGTCATACTTGAAAAGGATGGTCGCCAAAGCTACGCGCTGAACCTTCGTCAGAAGTGTGTAAGGTGCATGACTGAGCGCTTCGAAAACCTGCTTCCCGTGAGAACTACTACTTTGACCGAAAAATGAAGTCACCTACCTGTGCGACCCACTGCCCTTCGTTCACAGGAGTTCCCTCTTGGAAACAATTAGCTACCGTGCGGAATAATAGCAGAATATTGGTTTCTTGAGCCTTCGACATAGCCTTCCCATGTGATCGGACTTCAGTCCAATCAGATGCCTTGAACAGGGATGCGAGAAATCGCTCTCGTCCACCGGGGACTGCAGAAGCATCTGCGCAATATGCAGCTACCAATCTGCTTAGGTCCATCACTTAAGAGCGGTCAGTAAAATGATGAAATTAGCACAATGGAATGCTTACTAGGGAATCGCTGGGACGCCGGCCATCGCTCTAGAATCTGTATGATAGCTTCTGCGTGGGTGCCACCGAGGGGTGGAAGAGACAGTTGAGAAGGTGTCGAAGTGACTTGAGAAAGATAAGTGAAAGCTTCCTCAACGATCTCCAACTCTTCGGGGTACATTGCAAGGGTTGCAGTGGACTGGCATGCCTGGGTTCAGAAGGTTGCTCAATGCAGCTCAAGCGCGTGCGTACAATTTCGTTGCGTAGTGCTTCGTCAAATTGGTACAACTTTGTTTGCATTGCTGATACATTAGCTTGTTTGAAAGAGACAAACTTGGGCTGCGGAAATCAGCATTGAGCTCGACTATCGCTATCTAGAAAAATCTTACATAGGGTATGATTTTCGGAGCTGAAGGTGACACCGAAGGAACTGGAGGTGTAGGGACAGGGGTACCACTGTACCGAGCTGCACCCGTAAAAGGATCCATATAAGCCGTGGACGGGGCTGGTGCTGCTGAGGTAGCGGCAGTCTGATATCTTGATGCTCCTGATGGCAATCTAGCACATGATGTACTACTGAACATCGATGCTTACCTGTGTACGGGTCAACGTATTCATTGCCGGCGCCTAAATTGACTCCCGCAGTATTCTTTTCTATGAACTTGACAACTTCGTCGATGTAGTTCAATGACAGATCATTCTGTTCCAGAAAGCGTTGAGCAGCCGCATATGGATTCTCTGTGATGAAGACAAACATCAAATTTATGTCCACAGCACGAGTATGAAATACTTGCCAGACGCATTGAATGGCAGTTTCAATGGTGGTGCGCCTTCCTGCACATCGACGTCAAACACGTAGTCATACTCCTTGCCATTGAAAAGCTGCTTCCTTCCAGAGCCGACGGCGTCCACGACATCGCCAACCTTCTGCCAGTTTGACGTTGCACTATCCCACTACACTAGCTTAGATGATTATCTCGTTGATCATGAGTGCTCACCTGATGCGCCTCAACAAGGTCACCGTTTCTTATCATTTTCACTTCTCCAGGTTTCTTACCTATGCAATTTCAATTTAGCCTTACAGAATCTGTGAATAGTGACCGCCAACCTGGATGAAGCAATGCGTCTGGACCAGGAAGATCGGTTTTCTTGACGTCACCCACTTGCTGCGACGAAATAGTCTGGCTTGCGATATGATCTTCGAGTGCCTTCAGCTCCGCCGCGCTGGCCCAACGATCTTCAGATTCGCTGAACACTCGAACGATACCGTCGCTACAGCCACTGACAATATCTCCATTTGGCATCGTGGATACAGCCCAAACAGATATCGCAGGATGGATGATCATTTGCACACATTCACCGTCTGATGTTTGTGAGTGAATGCCATGGGATTGGACACAGTTCAATGACACACCTTGCCACACCCTCACAGAACGATCTTCACCGCCCGATACTATTCCTCCATTAGGAAGAACGGACAGACTGTACACAAAGGAGGTGTGTCCAGATAGCGTATAAACCACATCGCCCTGCATCGTCCATACCCTGATCTCACTAGTCCTAATCAGCCACCCTATTTCGTCCAAAAATAGCGAGAATAAATTACCTATCGTTGGAACATGAGGCAAAACCTATGTCAGGTATTAGGGTCAAGCCACGAACCGCGTCCTTATGCCCCTCATAAGTCCGCATCATCTTGTGTTGAACCCAATATTTGATGGTTTTATCCGCGGAAGCTGATCGAAGAAGGATCCGTCACTGGCGTATCAAACAGTGAATGGTCTCACGCACCGGTCAAGAATTGTTCGTCATCAATGGCAATGACTCCCCAAACTGCTTGCTGATGCCCCTTCAAATCATACACTAGCTGGAATTGTTTCCAGACTTTGGCGGTTCTGTGGTATTCAATGTTAGAACAGTACACTTGCTGAGCAATAGAAGATTCTCACTTGTCCCATGAGCCAGAGATGATGGTGCCAGATTGGCTGATATCAAGAGCACAGACATTATCTGTGTGTCCCACCAGCGAATATTCAGGATCCTCTTTCTGTGCTGGACCTAGGGCAAAAATATTGACGACGGTATCCTGTCCCCCAACAACAGCGTATCCTGCCTTGGGTCAATGCTACATGATATGACGCTAACCACTGGCAGACCTACCTTGCGGCGCTTCAGGCGACGGAGAGATATATTGTACAGCATTGATATATTTTGACCCAGCTCGCAGAATAGATGAAGGAGTGAAGGGGACAGTTGGCGATGGTCGTTTCCAGGAGATCGCGGTGGAATCTCGCGATGCTGAAAGGATGATACTTTCTGTTGGCGAAGCTACTGCACGAACCTATGGAAGTTACGATTAGATGAATCCCCCGCGAGAACTAATGAATTGGAAGAACCTACATCTGACGAATGAGCTGATAATGTGGCTGATAGCTTGTAAGGCATCGGACAAGCTCCTTTTGCGGCCGCGTAGAATCAGATACTGTAGGGATGGACGAGAGACCACAAGTGAGGGATAAGATTACTCAAGGAAAAGCGGGCGATCGCGTCAATGAAATGAAGGGTCAGAAATTCAGAACGGTCGAAATCTAACCACGGTCACGGTATCGTAAGTTCTATTTCTTGGTATTTCCTGCACTTTCATTCACTCAGGCAGTCAATTCTGGCAAAACAGATTGGATCTTATACACATGGCATGTAGCTAAGCCAAGCACTGCGCAGTGCGCACAGCACTGATTGAACCAGGCTAGACCATAACTGTGAACGAAAGAAACTGCCAGGTTCACAAGTATAACATTGATAACTATAATGTGCACCACGCTAACGAACCCAACAGTCGTAAAATCGACAGCAGGGAGATACGGAGGTGTAAACTATGCCATGCACCATTATTTCATCTCCTGCGAGGGCCTCTCGATGCAGACCGTCGACTGTAAATTGAAGTAAGTACGACGAATTGCCAAATCGTGAGGGGATAGAAAAAAAGGGTGCTAGCAGATTTCGAATTATTTATCATTCATGAAGTTTAGGGCAGGCCTTGTTGATTCATCCATACAGACGCACAGTTGGCAGTGGGCCAAATATGAGATTAGACTCACTAGAGTACTACTACATGGCATGGGACTTGCTTACCGAGGCAAAGTGTTGGATTCGCAGCACTTGTCGTGGTCTGACAGATTCGTAGCAAAATCAAATTTATATCTTCAACCTATGGGAGGCGCAGCAGAATTGAAAGTTTCCCCGAGACGGTATTACCTCACTGTAACACTAGATGGGCAACCGTGAGTTCAACGTAACAGCAAACTAGGGTGTCGTGAACGAGATAGGAAGGGGAAGATCATTCGCTGATGCGAAGCGACCCGTTCACCGTGGCATGCGCGAATAGATCGAAGATCCAGGCAGAGGCGTAACCTGCGGCGTCTGGACTTCAAGGCTACCGCATATAATTCACCCCGAAACTATATCTGACTGACTTGGCATCAAAAGTTATACTTGCTTTGGACCAGTGAAACTTAACTTTATCGGACAGTGAGCACCGCTGAAAATTTTGCAGCTGTCTGGACTTGCCGGACGCCTTTAAACGGTCTGGATGCCAGAAACACGATGGGATAGATGTGAAAATTATTTGACCTACCACGTTCTCTTTCGACGCTGAAATCAAAAAATAACGTTGCGCTGCTGTTAGCAACTTGCGAAACTCGCACGGGAAACCAATGAATGCGGACAAATTTGATCGAATGATCCTAGAATTCCCAGCGAGTGGAGGGAGTACACAGCAAGACTAGCTCAGAACAGCACATCGACATATAGAATTTTGTAACAGTCCTTCCTTGAAGCAAGGACTGACCACGATACAGCAAAATGTCTTCACGGGAAGTTTCAGTCGCAAAGATCAACGCCTGAGCCGATTGATATTTTGACCCGTTTCCCGCGGTGCACTAAATCCGCTGCAGCTTTGCGCTTTTCGGCTTGATGAGCAACCGCTAGTGTGAGGACGTTTTGAGTCGCTTCTTGGGTTTGAGATTCGTCATCAGAAGAACCCGCCTGTGCCGTAACCTCAGGATGTAAGTTTGAATCTGTAATTTCAGTCGAACTATGTGTGGGTATCAACATATGATCAATCAGGTTGCATGAGACAATGATGATCTTACGCCACTAAGGTTTGTCCTGCTTTAGATTTACGTCGCGCCTAGCAGCGTTATCCCGCGTTAGCAACGTAACATGTAATGATTGATATCTCTGACCGTATCAGATAGGCCCATAAGGCGATTCTCGACCTCGGTGAGTGGGTTGAAGTAATCTGCATAAGCCTTGGATCGTTTCGCCTTGGAGAGGAAGACATATTTGGTTTTTTGAAGCTCCTTCTGCTTTTTGGATTTAACGCCTTTCTTGCCCTTTTTCGCATGGGAGCGGGCAACACCAATGCCCAACTCATCAGAGACGATGCTTTCAACCGCAATAAAGCCTGGAAATGCATTTGCGTCGAAAAGACTGGCGTATACTGATCATACACCCACCTTCCTCTTCTAGCCTCGTCAGAAGCTGACCAACCAGTGCAGTGTCACACCCTTCGATGATATATGAAATTGAAACAATGAGGGATAAGATCAAAATTGAACTGACCAGTGTGCACCCTGAATAGCGACGCCGAAGATGGTTGATACACTTCATAAATTTTAATAGCCCTCCTGAAAAAAGTAAGTAAGTTGACGCAAGGGACAAGCCACTTCTTGTACCTGAAGAGGGCTAGGTCTTTGTATCGGGCAATGATATCAGCATGAATCATCCCCGCGATAATGTCCCACTCGTGAGAGCCGCGGAGACGGCAATCAAAGCAAATAAATTGAGCAGGGAGACGCTTGTCTTGTGCACCATGATATCTACGTCGCATTTAATGAAATATCACGTATTCAGAAAGGAGATGATTGCGCACCCCATGCACCTAGCCAACCTTCGTCAGAGGGCTTGCTTTGTGCGAGAGACGAAAATGCGTACCAAACGTGAAACCAACGGTTGCAATCACCTTCACACAGTAGAGAAGCATCGTCAATTTTCTAAAAGGGTGAAATCACTTGTGTTTCTTTCCATTTCGCTGCGTACGCACCGATATCCCACAGTCACAGCTAAGTTGGCCTTCATCTATCAACTGCTTGGAGCCCTTGGAACGGTTGTTACTAGGGATCTGTGGACCAGTGGTACCTAGATTGCAGGATGGTCCAGACGCTTCCAGGACCTGCGTCTCCATATCTGTAAAGAATTAGTTTAGCGCAATGCAATACGTCAGATAGACGTCGTACCCAACATCTCTAAATCAGGTGCAGTGGACACATCATTCCTCATTCCAAGTAGATCCTGGAGGTACTGAGTATCAACCTCTTGAGTCGAAATAGCCGAAGCGGAAAAGGCAATATCAGAAGCAGGCAAGGATGGGGCCTTGTTCGGTGAAGGAGCGGGTATCGGCGACCCCATAACAATCTCCTGAGTAGCTGGGATTTGCTGCGTTTCCTCAATGTCGTGAGCAGCCTTTTTAATGTTCTAACGCGAGCATCAGTGAGGTAAGAGATAGAACAGATGAGTGACGGACCAAGTCTCCGACGCATATCGGGGTCGACTCCGATATGCCGCCATACCGGACATGAGCGCGCGACGAAGTATCATTGACTTGAGGGAATGGTTGAACCCCTCCATCTTCGTTGCGTATACCGACGGGGGTCATGACTACGTCACCACCGAACCTGCACAAAACAATGCCTTCGTCGATTACCATTTCACCTTCGGCATCCTCGTCTTCGTCTGCGCTCCAGACGATGTTGCGCTCCAATGCATCTTTCTTCTGCAACTGTGCGTCCTCTACTCTGATTCTTGCCTCTTCAACTGGAGTCAATCTCGGGGCTGTGTGAGACGTGATACCCGCGAATGGCGCATTGTTGTCTTCTGATATAGACGGAAGATACGATGATACTGAGACCACTTTCATGTCGAGGCTGAATAGAGAAGATGAGCCCAAGTTGATGTATTGGAATTCCTGGTGCTTACCCATGCCATCCTGCGTTCACTTGGCCGATACTCGTTCGTTCCGGCACTTCATTCGCCATATGAGTGGTAAAGAACCATTTGTTAGCTTCGGCATCTGCGGCCTGGAAATGAGGGGGCTGATAGTCATCTGGGGCATCTTCGTTGAAGAACAACTTGAAATTTCCGTAACGGTTTTCTGAACCATAGAGTTACTATCGAACTCAAAAAAAACGACATCGGCACGCACTTGGAAGGCTTTCCATCTGATTGATAGTAGTTATAAGCGACTTGATCATTACCTGAAACAAAACGTTTGAGAACGAAATGCTTCTTAATAAGTAAGGATTAGTGTACCTTAACACTCCTTTTAACCTCCCCAAGAGTCGGCAGCTTCCCTTTCTTGAGAGCATCAGAAACAGGATCTGGGCGCGCAAGAGACATCTTCGACAATTGATCTCCAAGAGTCATGATCGGTATGGCGGTGTGGCTTCCAGGCAGCTTGTGGTACTTTGCGTCCCTCATCCATTTAGTACAATATATATCAAAGCCCCGAACACTCACCTGAAAATTGAAGGTGTAAGCCTCCACAATGCTGCGTGAGTAGCCTGTCAGAGAACCTAGCAATGATTGAAGGCTAAAATTGACAAACTTGTTGGGATCTTTGCTGTCCTACACTGAACATAAGAAAAGAGAGTATCTAAGTATATTTAATCTCACCAAGTAGATGCCGAATATAACTTTCCGGAGGTATTGCTTGTCTATGGCTTCAAATATGCCGTTCTCCTGAGAAACATGGATATATGCGCGTCTGTCATGGAGAATGGATGGATATATGCGCACCAGGTAGTCAATTATACGATCCCCTTCATTAGTGAAACCTCGGTTGAGGGTCATGAACTTGAAACCGCTGATATTCAGTCCGGTAGTTCCGTCTGAAGAGAAAGAACCAGAGGAAGAGGAGGCTCGTCCATTGTTTTGAGACGAAAGTCGGTCTACGTTTTTTGGTTAGTGTATATCGGCCACCATTCGTAAACTATACTCACATTCACCGAAGTTCTCGGCGGGTAGAAGACCCCTGAAATTAACAGGTGAGATGAGAATCGGAAAGCTATATTAAACGCACCTCAGGTATGCCACACAACCCAGACCAGCTTTTAGTAGTGTCTGTACACACTCTAAGCTCTGCTTGTTGCTTATTGTCTGGGGAACGATCAAGTCCAAGCTGACGACAACTCGTGGATTAATACCTGGGTCTCTGTGTTCGCTATTGTGCGCTGCATCTGCATGGCTGTTCAAGTACGTATGGGTGTCTCAGAACCTTAAAGAAGTAGTCGTTGATTTTTACTTGGATGACGGGAGACCGAAGGAGATGAAGCTGGCAAGAGTCGCAAGACGCGCGACGCGTATTTGTATCGCATGTGAAATAATCACGTGACTCATGACCCGAATTGAGAACAGATCCACTAGCTAGTACTGTTGAGTGCATTATCGAATCTTGCAATTGAATGGTCGAGGACAACACCCCAGTAATGCATCAATGAAGCTTTAAATGGAAGTAAAGTTTGAACTCTCAAAACCAGTGGACACGAGTCGACAATGTTACAAATACGATATCAAAAACAACACTATCACCAAGCCACGAGTCAGACTTGCAACATCGAAAACACACGTAGGACTCACGTTTGATACGAAGTTTTATAATATTATGGTTGTCCCGTGCCAATGAGGCTTGTAATTCGTGTGTCAAACCCCTCACTACGAACTGGCATCTCCGGAGTGTGGAATGGGTTCTTCATGACTGCGTCTGCATAGGCCTCGTACACTCTTTGAAGAACCAAATCCGCTGTCGCCTCTGCCAAGGATGTGAGAAGAACGAATTTGGTTCCTGTAAGATATCAATGTAAGGGGGTTAGCTGTGACGTGCGTCAGACCAAGCACCTGTCGCGGTCAACAAGATGGTCATCTTAAACGTCTCCCCTTCAATAACCTGTGCACCTGAGCTTGAGCCAGTAGGAGATAAGCGACTTGTAATAGCGTGAATTCCATGCAGAGTGCCAGCGAGGACTAAGTACTCGTTTGATGTGAGCTGAGCGAGGCCATCTGAGAAGGACTCAGTCATGGACAAGGCTGAACCCATAAACGTTCTGAACAACCTGCGAAATTGCGCTGGTAGACCAATCCACCGGCTTTGTTAATGACCTTTTACACCTTGCATTGAGTAATTGTTCGGGTAATTACTCGACGAAAGAGTTGAACCTACCCATAGGCTAAAGATCGCCATTGGCGCGAAGGGGAAAGTAGCCAGCGCGGAACTTCGCGTTTCACGGACTACGCCGATCTATCTCAGTGGTCTTTCTGGCTCAACCGTTCAGCGTTAGGCTCGCATCTTTCAGTCAATGGAACTTCGGCTACATCGCCAGTCTTCATGTCTGAGCTTGCTCCTATTGTTGTTTGCATTGTGGCCTACACTAACGATACAGGGCTCGACGCTCGGGGAACGTGATTTCATCCAGTTGACCTCAGAACAAATTTTGGCTCTTGCGACCGCAACGGACCCGGTCGCAAATGTAGACACCAATAATCCCACTTCTCATCTTTCGAAGATCCTCATACCGCGCGCTGGTATGTGTCTATTCTACCTTTCAAGTTAACTGAAACGAGTGTAACAGTGGGTAGTGAAAACATAACCCTCGTTCGTGAATATATCGTGTCCACCTTGAAGGTTTTGGATTGGCACGTCGAAGAGGACACCTTTACCGACAACACTCCGTATGGTATCCAATTATTCACCAACATCATTGCGACGAAAGATCCAACCGCCTCGCGCCGTGTCATATTGTCTGCGCACTATGACAGCAAATTCTTTCCCAACTACCCAGATAATCAGGTAATTGGCAGAGTCTTCAATTATTCACACAGGAAACTGTATGCTAAGCCCATTAGTTTGTGGGTGCGACAGATTCCGCAGCACCATGCGCAATGATGCTCGACCTAGCAGAGACTTTGAACCCCTTTCTTGATCAGCGTAAACAACGTCTCGAGGACGGATATGATGATGAAGATGAAGATGTGGCAGACACGACCCTCCAACTCGTGTTCTTTGACGGCGAGGAAGCTTTCAAAGATTGGACTGACACAGACTCTGTATATGGGGCTAGGTCAGCAATTCTCTTGAGGATGGCATATCAGAACTAAACCGATGGTGTACTTTCGTTTAGACATCTCGCAGGCAAATGGTCAACAACTTATATAGTGCCTAATTCTAAACGACGGTTGCTTGGGCATGCAAGTTTGACGGAGTTATCGACCATCGAACACATCATCCTCCTCGACCTCCTCGGCGCCCCGAACCCAACAATAAGATCCTATTTTATCGATACAGCTTGGTTATTTGATGCCATGGTTTCCGCAGAAACTCGGCTCAAGGATGTTGGCGCTCTTGATGAAGCAGAAACTACGAACTTTCGCAGCTTCTTCTTGCCTCGAACGGGTCCTGGGAACCAATATAATTACGGATATATCGGAGATGATCACGTACCCTTTCTACAGAAAGGTGTCAACATTCTTCATATCATCGCATATCCATTCCCGCGTGTCTGGCACACCCTTCGCGTTCGTCATCATTTTCATGTGCCTGTCATTGCTATTGATCTCACATTCTCTAGGATGATGCATCGGCACTTGATGTATTGACCATGCGCCGATGGAACATGATATTACGCGTGTTCATGTCCGAATATCTGAATCTTCGACCCGAGATATCGCAACCACTCCCTAAGCACGATCATCTCCAACGTTCCGCCAGTGAATTGGTGAGATTTAATCTAGTCATCGATGTCTCAAGCTCAGAAAATCATGGAGCCCAGTGACCTGGTTTTCGAAATAGGTTGACGGACCAAAATACCAGATAATTTGATTTATTGATACAAGGCGATGATACAAACATCTGCAAATTACAGAGGGGGAAGGCACACAAACTGAAAACCTAAGTGAAAAGCATAAACATGTTTAAAGCGCAAGGACAAGTGCTTTGTAATGCTTCACGAGGTCGGAGGCATCCATAGCGAGCTGCGGGTGGGTGTCGCGTTAAGCTCCGTTGCGTTTGAGAGAAGGGCATCAGTCTCAGACCTTGTGCCTTTCTCGTGCATCATCAAGACGTGTCTTTGCCTTCTCCATCAGCCTCTTTCGTGATTTACGCATTTCCACGTCCGATACATGGGCTGTATGCAAGATCATCCTGGATATATGCGCTTTAGATACGCTAAGACTCACCCATAGCCTTCATCGTATCTACATTGTGTATGCGCTGGCGAACAAGGTCATCGAGCAACGAAGGATACTCTGCACACAACGCATGGATCTTCTCCTTGAAGACTAGTCAACGAAAGAGGATGCTTCGGCCGTTCTCTATGAAGCTTACTTCATTGGCCTGAAGTCGCACTGACAAGTCGGCGCGATCTGCTTCGTGCTGCTCTTTTATACGGGCCAGGGTGGTCTGTGCCGAATTGCTTTTGAACGCAAAGGAGGTATTGTTCATCGTGTAGAAGAATGCTGAGCAACTTACATGTGAACCTCAACTTCCTCGACGAGGTGGGCGCATTCCGTCCGAGCACTCGCGAACGTGGTTCTCATCCTAGCTTCCAACGAATGAGGACTGTTACTCGTTTTGTTACTTGGCATCCTTCTTGGAAAAGTCCAGTAGACTGTCATGGCACGCAGAAATGACGACAAACCAAATGCTGTTTATCTACTGCAATAAAGCGGTGAAAGAATCAAGAGCCCCAATGGTACCTCAAGTCATACCTGTGAGCTATAGAGTTTATCCTTTCACAAATAATGAACGCGATAAACAGGGCCCAGGCTTGGTGCAAAGATGATCACGACCTATGCTTGTACCGTGACATACCGTTTAGTGCCAACACAGTAAGTGTCTCACTGTTACGCCTTCTTACCGTTGACCGCTCTAGTATTTTGATAGCAGTGATTGAATGACAACGATAGCTATAGTAGTGGCAGTGAGTGAACAACTTGAATGGTTTAGGATGGTTTCTTGGTGGTCTCGGCGGACGCGTCTGTGGCAAAGATCAAAGATCATGTGATCTGATAAGTCGGTGCCAATTTTCCCTGGTACTCCTCTAAGTACGAACTGAGTCTATACATTGTACAATGGTATCCTAAGCTTGTGTTAAGGGCAGTTCCCCCAATTCCTCCAGACAGTCCAGCACAATTCCCAACGCAACCAAACCAAAACTTTGCGTGCCATAATGACCCCCATTTCCCTCCTCGTGACTCGCTTTGTACTTCTCCTGACTCAGCGCCCAAGCAGACCACCCGTTCTCCAAGCCATCCCGCACTTCGTCGGGCGACGCGTCTGCCATACTCTCCGGTAGCATTCTGCCTCGAATATCACGAATGAGGACTGAAATGCATTCTCTCATTGCATATGTCCGATCATTTTTGAATCGCTTCTGTGAGCACTTGTCCAGGATAGTTCCGACGATGATTTCCTCCTCGCGCAGGCGCGCACCGGGTACTCGTGAGAGTGTGTGACAGGTTGCAACATAGATGAGTTCGTCAACATATATCGAGTATATATTGTTCATTGAGACATTGAGTTTCGAAGGTCTCTCACGACGTTTCAGCTGTCGTTCGACTAAAGGACGAAGTGTAACGGAGATAACATCGCTCAGCGGCTTTTGTAGCTTCTGAGGAATATAAGTGGGAATATCGTCGAGTTTGATGTTACGATATAGGTGGCCCAAGGCCCGGTCGGATTCGTAATAATCTGTTGGTCGGGGAGATTCCACCTCTGCTGCATGCCAATCAGGTTTGTAGGGGATGAGGTTGCGAGGAATGTCTTCAACATTGACCTTCCATCCGTTCTTTGGGTAGTCAACGGCTTGGCTATGAAGGGCTGCTAGCTTCAGGCATGCCTCATTGAACGTCCCGTCCTATAATATAATCTGAGTTCGAGCTCTGTACACCTTTGATGACACTACGTACGCTAGCTTGATCTGTGGTGAACACAATAAGCTGGGGTATTTGATCCTTGTGGGAAAAAAAAACTTGCCTGCAATAGTGATATGCTTGTCGGACACCAGCCCCTGTAGCCCACTTGAGCCATCGGTCAACATATGCTCACCCAGAATCGACGTACCACAACATCTGAGTTGATATATTCCACAACAAAATTACACACGTCGTCAATTGTGCTGGGATGTTCGATCGTGAAAGGCTTCCCCGAAGGATAGGACGCTGGATCATAATGATCAGGGAGGATCAAGGGTGGATATTGTATAATCTCATAGAGATCCCTATAAATCATGAATGTCAAATCAGGATAGAGGTAGCATTTCTCCTTACCCGTCAAGATCGCCACCGCCGAGCGAGTTTGCCAAACAGGTTGCGCCTATGGTCGAGGATATAGGTAGATGAAAGTTTTCGAAACACTCGTGCACCTACCAGTGGATGCAAATACAACTACATTCTTCAGGTGACCAAAAAGGCAAAGTTTATCACTCGGAGGCTTTCCGATAGCGTATGACTGTTGGACTAGACTCGAGTTAATTTGCGATAAGTGTAGCACAGGCAGGAACTTACCGTCGCCTGGATGTATGACGGGACTCCTCGAGATCATACAAGGTCCATGAAGCCATGTGGGTTCACTATCCCCTGGCTTGTGAACACACGCTAAGAGGGCAGGTAAACAAATCAAGCGAGCTATCGGAAATGAGTGGCATACCATATATCTTGCCGGGAGGCAGCTTGAACACATTCGAGTAGCCTTTTTTCTCGTAAGCAGATCCCTCATCGGTGACACCCATCAGCATATAGCTGTTAGGAATTGGGATGCGCGCATCATGCTTGACTGCTCGCAGTACGTGGTTGATGGCACAAGCCCGTAACTGCGCCAAAAAGGGGGTGTCGATGTTCCGCTGAAGATGTGTAGGATTCAACTCCAAACCGAGAGTACTAAGTCTCCGCAACGTCGATGCCAGTCGGAAAGATTGAGACAAACTGTGGCTTTCCAAGAGCCCCGCAAAGAGATCGACTGAGTCGTGAGCGGTGCGTGCCTCCGCAACAACCTTTTGCTGCAACTCCATAAAGGTATCCTTCGAGGCACCTCGGTCTTCTAGAACTGTGATCAAAGGTCTGTACGAATCGCTTGAGTATCTACACTGTAAAACTGAAATGTTAAGGAACTTGTGGATACCTGTTAAGATGAGGAGTGTTGGGTTTCACAACGGGACGAGCAATCTCTATCATAGCATATTCTTCCCCATGATCCTTGAACTTGTTCATACTTTCTCGTAAACGAAGGTGGATTCCCTTGAGTTGCTTGTCAATAGCCACGACGCCTTTAAAGCCAAGGAATCTGATTTGGTACTGTAGCCCTGTTTAGTACAGCACTTCCAAGCGTAAAAGCACTTACCGCAGAAGGTTTCACTGCATGCGCACCACCATCTCGTCGAGCTTCGCAGAGAGTTTGCCAAATTAAATTACCAAGTTCATCACTGACGGTGCCGACACCATCAGAAAACATAACACCGTTTTCGACGATATCAGGCATTTCCGACCACTGCGATCGATGGATCTTGACCGATGGATCTGTTGCCGTAAAGGCTTGCTGAAAGGTTGTTTAGAAGAAATATTGACGGAAATAGCTGACTTACAGCCATCCTGGCAGCATACTTCGAAGGGGAATAAATGCATCCGCTGAAGTCTCCTAAGCTACTTCTTATCGTATGTGCGTTGACCAATCCTTTGGTATCGTGCTGGAAGGAGCTAACAAACCAAACAGCGTGCTCCCTCAGTGCAGATGAAGAGTATGCTAAGAAATCGAAATGTTTGCCCGCAAGCTCAAAACCATCCTCCAGCAAGCCCCCGACACGGTGCCTGACGAAGCTCGCCCCATCTACTTCCCTATCCCAGCGATACTGGAGACGATCCTCGTCACGAAAATCGACCCGAATGAAGTTGCCTTCATAGCCTTCGTACTCGCGAATGACGCGATTCGATTGCAGTATGTTAGGCCCTTCAAGGATGAGCCGAGTCGGAGTGACTGTAACACGATGACAATAAAAGCGGCCAGCAGGCGCCCCGGGACGGACATTCCCGAGCTTCTCCTGTACCACCCGCTCGAAGCACTTGTTGATCGTTTGGCCTGGAGGACGACCCGCAGCTTTTATCACAAAGTACCGCATGATGGCTGCAGCAGATAGTCTGTGGCAGCGAATCAGATCATCGATATTCGGGCGTAAATTCTCGAGTTCCTTTGTATTTGCAATCCCATTTCGGAGAAGAGCCTCAATTTGGAACGCTACAGGCCAGTCTGAGCTCAATGACTTCAGCCATCTTTGGACCCAAGCCAGTCTTTTGCTCGCGAAAAATTCCTGGCAGATGGCCTCGATGCGGACTCCAGAGACCGGAGGACGAAGCTCTGCGATTTTACAGAACTGCGTGAATTTATCCAGATCTCCATCTTCAGAGAGGATGATACGTATGTGGTGAGCGTATGGAGCAACTTGCTCATGCCCTGGATGTATAGCACCCACGCGTTCGCGAAAATTCTTCTTATCGGAGTATGTTCCGGTAAGGGTTCTGTTGCAGTCTTCTCTTTCGATGATCGGTGGTGTGAACAGATCGAAGCATACATCTAAAAAGATTTTACACTCAGAAATTCAAGCTATGGGCACCATGCTTACATTGATTACCAAAATCAGAACCCACAGCCATTTTGTTGATATTGGCGAAGGTAATAATCAGGTTGTATAACAATTGTCCACGCGCTGGATCACCGATCTAGCCAATTATAGGATGAGTACGGTGTGTTGTTTTCTATTCAGAATGAAATATATGCCAAACCTTCGCACGGATCAGTTTGTGCTCGTATTCAAAGTTCAACCACCCAAGCTCGTTGGCTCGGAGAAGATTGGACTGCCATTCCACACTGAAGGTACGTGGATCTAATGGGCCCGCACATTCGGGGCGATAGAAGATGCCTAGGAAAATAAGTTCATATGATCCAAAGGCGACAGGCAAAAAGGTATACGAGGATACTTATAACATACCGATCTGCACTTTAGCGATTCGAAAGTCTGAACTTAACGAATCGATCTTCTCCTGCCGTTTCTGAGCGATATCGGGGTCAACATAGGGGGCCTTTGTGAGGGTGACTAGCATATTGCTAGGGATGTGGTTGTTTGTAGGGGCGAATTTCAGACGCTTTTTGCCGACCTTGATGGTGACACCATCTTCGCCGTCAACAAGCCGACGGAATTTCAGCCCTACATCCTTAGAGGGCAGTCTGAGTGACCCAAAGCCTTTGTTACGAACGCCTCCACACTCATTCTTTTCGAGCGTGACTCTAAAGTTGATGGGACGATGCTGCGCATCGGCATCCGACACAAATGGACCAGGGTACGCATGTAGAACCTCTGCGATCTTTTTTGTGACCTCGTATTCAGTTGCTTGAAAATCTACGTTTCGAATGTATAACTCCATGAAGATGATGAAGAGGGAAGGATAGATGGTGGATCGATAAGCTCAGCCACTGAAAACGAGCACTAGTATTCGGCTGCTAAATATAGATATCTGAGCTCTGACTCGTTCCGGAACGCTAACCGTTTAGCCGCACTCATCATGATTTTGTTGGTAGAAACTATCTAAGCTTTGTTTGAATGTGGCTTAAAGCAAGAGGTAGAATATAC